TGCGGGACCGGCCCGCTGGTCGTAGCAGCTTGTCGCGTTCATGTAGTAAACGTGGGTTTTGCTCAAGCAAGACGTTGCGCTTTGGTGGAAAAAGCGCTGTGGGGTTTAGGGCAAAAGTCTTGTGGCCGCCTGTGTAGCGCTTGGGCAGGTAGTTCCTGCTAGGACAAGCAGCTACAAGCCCTGTCCTGTTGTCGAAAGTGAAAAGATGGAAGCCACTTAAACCGCTATTTCTGGTCAGCAGGAATACCCGAAAGTCCTTTGAGCGCTTGTGGCATATTGCCTGTCTTTACTTTACTATGCCTGTTTATTTGTCCTTCACACTGTTTGCATCTCTTCCCTTTCCATTTTTTGCCTTATTGTTGAATAGCCCCGACAGTTGCGAGAAGCGCCTTTGGACAGATGTTGACTAACTCCTATGCCCTGTTTTTGCCTGTCAGTGCTGCCTTAAGTGTTTTTTCAGGGTTACGTCTTCAATAATGTGCTTAAAGCACGTTCCGAAGAGCTCTCAAGACGTTTAAAATTCATATAACGTAAACCAGTGTGGTATCTACTCTGCTGTCTCCTTGAACAGCAGACAGTTCGATTACACTTTAAAGGAAAGCACAAGAAAACCCACAGTCTGCAACAGGACAGTAAGAGTTCTTATTGGGCTGTTCCTGATAACCTAGTCTGATTAAACAAGGGTTTCTGCATCATCCACCACCACTTTTCTTTTTCCTAACAACAGGATTTATACCCATAGGAAACTTGGATTTGGCCTGTCGCCTAAGCATGTATTCAGTAGGGCAGCTAATAGTTTGAGGAAACTTCTCTTGTACTTCTAAGTTTGTCATTCTTTGGCCCTCCTGTGGAGGGAGAGGAGGAGCAATTTCATAAAATCATTCAAAAAGTTTTTTTTCTTTAGAGTAAAAATGTGGGAAGTTCTTAAATTTGAGATATATATTTTGATTTTTTTTATCCTTTTCCTCCTTAAGGTTTTTAGGGGAAGATGAGAAATTAATAGCTAGTTTAGGGGAAGATGAGAAATTAATAGCTAGTAGAGGAAGAAACAAAAGTCAGTAGTAACAGGATCAAAAAATACTGGCAATAATTTAGGCTCATTTCTTGATGGGTGTAGTAGAATTATTATTAGTGGCTTGCAGAAACTAGTCTTCATTATGTATTGCTGTTTTGCACTTAGAAAAGCTGAAAGATATGCTTTTTTAGAGCATGAATAATAATTCCCCAGGCCAGTGTCTGATATGGATATTGAAAAATGTCTTAAGTGATGAATCACTTAAAATCAGAGACTTAGATGCCTGGCAATCTCATTATTGGGATAACGTTAGAACATACATGCACGATGGTTTAACGTTTAAAGAATAGGAGGGATAGCCTGGGTATTTATACACCAGACAGCCTACAATTGTTCTCCACCAAGAGACAGAATACATAATTCAGTCAGTTATTATATCATTTTTTAATGTTAATCAGTTCTCTTTTATCTGTGCTCTTTTAGGTTTTGTGAAATAATCCCAACCTGTTCTTTAATTTTGAGCCTGGTTGAAAAAGATAAATATGTATAACTCTACCTGAATCAAACATCTCATAAGTTTAGTTTGCAAGACATTCTGATGCTAAAATAGTACAACTGTTTTAGAGCAAGTTTCCTAAGCTGCCTGAAGCACTTCCTTTATTACTGTTAATAGAGAATCCTTAGTGCTCAGATGCTCCCAAGAAGTTAAAGTTACAAGTCTTAGAACCAAGCCTTGTCACCAGTGATCAGCAAACAAATGCGATATTGCTGGTAATAGAACTTGATCAAAGTTTGGCAGAATGATTTAGACTCCCTAGTACGACAAGCCTGTTAAGTACAGCAGTCCCCGATCCCCCCCCCCCCCCCCCCCCCTTGAGGAATTCCATTCAAATTAAGTGTCCTGTGACCTACATGAAAGTGGACTTAGCTGGTCTAGTTGTCTTTGCATGATTTTTATTCTAGTGCATAGCTCTGAATTCTCCTTTTGTTCTGTTTCTAATTGGGGAAAAGTCTTGATCTTTTCTGTTCCTTTGTGTCACTTTTTTCTGGTCTCCTTTCCATCTCTTTCTATCATGATATTTGAGACAGCATTTCAAGAACTGAAAACTAATTCCCAGCATGGGAATACTATCAATCGTGGTGTAGAAATCTTTACTGCCTTCCTATATGTTCTTTGCAAATCCTAATAACTTTTTTGCCATTTTTCTGCATCTGAGTACTGAACTGGAATCTTAACTGTCCTGTCCAAATCATGGGTCAGGAGTTTTCTCTCAGCAGTTAATTAATTTAAACCCAACAATATGTTTTAGTAATTATATTTCCAGTGTGGCTTACTCTGCAGTTGCCAGCGTGAATGTTATGTGCTGTGTGCTCACCTCACTTATTAGCATTGAAAATGTTGGATTCAGTTGACACTAATGGAATGGTGTTGTCTAACGTGCTTACAAAATTTCTGTGATCTATAACTCTTAATTAGGTCAGGGACATGTATACTTCAAAAATCTTACCTGTTGTTTGTTCACATTTCTGTACTCTAGTGAAAAATATTACAGAAGTAATGTAAGCCACACAATGTACAACACCCTAAGTCTTTCCTGCAGAAAAGCAAATTTACAGGCTCTGACATTTGGAACAGTTATCTGTGTCATAATTACTGTTCAGTAGACTCACTGAGGTATTAAGAATCAGTGCATCTGTTTTCAAGAAATAGTCTTGAACACTAAATACAGCTTTATAATTCATGTTCTCTTGAAATTGAATGAATAACTCAAAATAACTTTTTGCATTAGGATATTTGAGCTGAGACTGATGGTAAAGTTAAGTTAGACTCGCTTTTGATCTCTGCTTGGGGTATTTAAATCATACTAACAGTCTGCATTTAAAATGAAATAAGCGAATGTGCTAATTGGACAGCTATTATAGATTGACTGTTATTGCTTTGCTTTTCTGTTTAAGTAGAAAATACTATTTCTGTGGTGGTTCTTCAACACAATAGGTGCTTTACTAGTGATTTTACCCATTTAGAAAACATTTTAAGGATGGATAGAACTGATTGGAAACAAAAATTGTTAACACAACATATATGAAAAGTAAGTGCCATTTGGAAAAAACTGTCTCCTCAATTGCCAGATCCATGTTATAATACAGTGCTTGTTTTTAGAGGTATGTGATAGCTGTGTAAGTTTTAAGAATTTACCATCTTAGTCCTCAGATTTATCCTTACACACCGAAGTTGTGTGTGATAGGTGTCATGAAGTAACACTGGGGACAGATATATTTAGTGCAACCCAGTTTGTCTAATGATTTGGTGGCCAAAAATCCCTGTAGCTTAATCTTTGCATGCTTCATTCAAATATTAATAATTTTGGAAGTAACTCATGGCTTTTTTCCCCCCCCGCCCAGTCTCACACAATTCTACTTGTTCAGCCCACCAAGAGGCCAGAAGGCAGAACATATGCTGATTATGAATCAGTGAATGAGTGCATGGAAGGTGGGTATCATTGCTTCTGCAGTCATGATAATGGGCAATTGTTGTTAAAATCTTTTTTTGACATATTCCCAAAGCTTGCTTGTTAAGTGAACAAGTTGCTATTCCCAAGAGAAGTCACAAAAACTGCAAAAATGTCTCATTCTTTCAGTTTACTAGTGTTCTTGCACGCTAAAAATAGTTTGCAAGTAAGTAGATTGAACCACGTCACTTCAGGAGATTAGATGATACCACCACCCTGGTGGCCTTGCAGTAGACCTTTTTGAATGCATTTTCATTGCAGGATCAGAGCCTAACTTTCTCATTAATTTTTGTGCTAGTCATGTAAAGGAAAGATAGCTATTACAAGTAACATGTACAATAAAAGTATGTGCATAATCGACACTTGTTTTACAAACAGGTGGCATGTGTGCCAGAAAACAATTCTATGTGACTTTAAGACACAAAAAATGAGCTTGGAACGATGACAGCCATACAGCTCTATAATGTAAATGTCCAAGTCCACTGAACATTAAAAATTCTAATTCCAACAAGTTTTGCGATGCAAACAAAGCTGGAGTAAAGACCACCTAAAATCTCAGTTCCCACATTATTACCGTGTTCTTCTCAAGTGTATCCGAATTACCATTAAACAAAACTGATCTGAATTCATATACAGGCTTGTATTGGCACTACTCGCTTTTAGGTAATCAGTTGCCCTATTTGACCCTTTAATAAAGAATGACTTCTCTCATGAGAACTAAGTAGTAGCTTTGTTTGATGCTAATTATTCTCTTTCTCAGATCCTTCTACAGTAGGAATATATGTTACATCTTCTGTCTTAAAACCATTAGAAAGAATTTTAGATTTCTGTTACCACTTACTGCTTGGAAAGTTTTGCCTTTGAAGTGATAAAACTAAAGTTTTTTTCTCCTAGATCATGATAATGCTTCTTTATATGCACTTTACCTGGTTTTGTAGTGTTTTGTTTCAGTACCGATAACTAGGACAAAGGTATTTCAACTCTGCAAAATCTGAATACGTAATTCATATCTGTGTTTTAATGGTAGTCATGGTAAAATGGTAGTCAAATCTCTAAACTTTCCTGTCACCTGTGGTTTAATATCTAAGGAATTTGCAGCAAATAAAGTTTCAAGATCGCATTATCAAGCTTTTCTTTTTCTGTAGGAGTCTGTAAAATGTATGAAGAGCATCTGAAGAGAATGAATCCCAACAGTCCATCCATTACATACGATATCAGCCAGTTGTTTGACTTTATTGATGATTTGGCAGACCTCAGCTGTCTGGTGTAAGTTCAGTTGTGTGAGCTGTGGGAGGAGAGACAAATTCTCTCTTTTCTGGATGTAGAGATGGCTTTTTTTTCCTTTTTTTTCCACTGGGGGGAAACAATTGTTACTTCTAAGAGTTAATGTGCATAATATGTAGTAAATATAATTTCACTGTATTATTTTCTAGCTATTTTTTACTTCAGGCTACATGAGGCGTCTCAAACTTTTTAAACTTCAGAATAGAAAAGATCACTAGTCTCCCTACTTCTGCCTGTCAGAAGTCTTCCATATAAGCTCTTCAATGTTTTATGTGGAATCTGGTAACGTTCTTTTTTTTTTCCCCAATAACTGTATTAGTAAGGCAGCAGTATTGCAGCTGGCACACCATATTATCTACCGATATGAACTGCATCAGAATAAAGCATCTCTTAAGAAAGCTTAGAAACTAACAGTTCCACCTGAGTTTTAGTCACACTGAAGCTCCTAACGTTTCAAATATTGAAGTCCAACAGTTTAATACAGCTACAGATTTTGTTAAGACTGGCTAGAATCCATTTAAATCAGCGTTAGATCTGCCTTTGTGAAATTAGTCCAATTCTTAAGCAGGCAAAAAGACTAACAATTTTTTTGCAACTGAGGACTGCACTAGCAATATGGTAGAAATCTGTGGAAGCACATCACAGCCAACTGTTTGCTTTTATCAAGATGTAGCAAGATGGAACCTTTTGTAAATGCTAATTAAGAGATTGAGGAACGTACCAGTCTTTCCGGGAGTCCTAGCTAATTATTTGGATGCTCTTGTGAATCCAGTATTATATCTCTGGTTCTCATCTGTGATAGAACTGCGAGCAAAGATGGTCTTGTATACCTTGCATTCCGACTGCACTGCAAAATCAAATGTTAATTTCCAGTACTTAATCTATAACTAAGATTGCAACTAAATCCCTTAGTCCAGATCATGGCTGATTTCCACACTATAAACATCCAACTAATGGTTTGAGAAGACAGTGGTATGAAACTTTATAGAAGTTCTGTAGGAATAAAGATACAAATGTAGTACTCAAATAACAGAAGAAACATTATTTGGTCTGCTGAACTCACAAATTCCAGGATCTCTTTTTAAGCCAGTATGGATATTCCTGCTACTGTACTGCTGTGTCTAAAATCCCAGTGCAAGTGCAGCTGCACAGTGAACCACCTTTGCCAATTAATTTCTGTTTAAAACTTATTTAAAAAAAAAAATCGGATTATTTTCTCTGCATGCTGATTTACATATAGAATTTGACTATGTCACCAGTAGTGACTTGCTACAAAGTCCATTAACCAAAGCTGTCAACAGAGTAAATAAAACCATATTACGATTTCTGCAGGCTTACCTTGTTGCTAGGCATTCTACCATGTTTGATCTTCAGATATCATAGTGCTGGCCTGACACAGTTAAAAAGACGTGCCTTTTTTTATTTTCACTTCTAACAGACTGAAGCTAGCTACTTGCTTTAGGAAGTAGCAACTGCTTTCTACTACAGTCTTGTGGCTTTCTTAATTAGGCTTATAAACTTAGTGTTGTGCCAAATTCTGCTTCAGCTTAGTTTTCCACCAGATGGCATACATAGCATGTAGTGTGCTAGGGTCATGAAAATCCCTAAAATGCTTGCTTTCTAATCTTGCAGTGTAGCATTATAACTGGATTGAAAATAATTAACAGTTCCTGAAAAATAATGTTTCTTATACTGCAGTGAAACTACTGAAGTGTTAATAATACTGAAGCCCTTTCTGTGGCCTTGAACCAGTATGCTGGATTTTAAATAACAAGGCCTTTGTTTTAGTTCAAGGCCACAGAAAGGGTTTGAGTATTATCAATACTTGAGTACTTATTTTTTGCTACCTTAGTAGTGCACTGTGTTTAGGTTTTTTTTTTTTTTTCACTTATGTAATAGAAGCGAATTATTCTGGATTGAGTTAAACAACTTTGAATTTATACTTAGCTTCTTACCAATGACCATCATTCTCTTAATCTGATTAGAAAAATGTGTTCCAAGATTTAGAGCTTGGACAGGACTTCGGTAGCTCTTGAAGCACTCACCGAAGGTACCGCCTTCATCAAAAAGCTCCTCCAGCTTTAAGGACCAAAGGGGGAAGGAAGGGAATGAATTTTAACAGATAACTTGATGCACTTTGCTTTCCCTCTAAATCTACTTCAGTTCAACAGCATCTTGAATAACTTGAGTTCTCTGGGCCTGATATGAAATCTTCCTAGTGGACTACATAGATCAGTAGAAATCATCTGTGGGGGGTCTTATAAAGATTCCAAACATAGGTGTAACACTTCAAATGCTGAACACTTGCTTGAAGTAGTTAAACTGAGTGTTTGTCTCATTAAAATAAATTAGATGATGCTTCCTGATTGCACCATTCTTAATTCTGAGCTCTAGAATATTGAGGTGCTCTTTTTGCTTTCTCCATAAGTAATTAGGTCCATGAATTTAAATATGAACACACTGTGATACAGTCACTCAGTAGTCCTTGGAGCATCAAGTTCCATTTCAGGTTCTTACTCATCTACTGAGTGACAGGTGTTTGTGGAACAGGACAGACTGATATTAATTTAACTCTTTTCTTTTCTCCAGTTACCGTGCTGACACTCAGACATACCAACCATACAATAAAGACTGGATAAAGGAGAAGATCTATGTCCTCCTCCGCAGGCAGGCCCAGCAAGCAAGCAAATAATGGCAGCACCATCATTAAATTGGGTTTGGGGGAGGGCTTGGACAACAGGCGTGTACAGAGTGTAGTAGTGAAAGTTTTGTATTATAGTCGTCCTGTTGCCATCTTGTTAAACTCTTTAGCCAGGACTGAATGTATTGTTAGAGATGCAAGGATTTTGTTGGATTTGAAAACTTTTTTTTGGTGTAAATGGAGAAGAAAGCGCAACATCTTTGGCAGAGATTTAACGTGTTTTTTTCCTTGGGCTAGCTGATAATCCTACCTTATTCAAACCCCTGGGGCTGCTCACATCTTCACCACATTCACTGTATGTGCCCTTCTGTGGGGTTTCCAACATTTAGTTTATGTCCTTGAGACTGTCTTAATGGGGAATAAAAAAATATCCTTTAGTTAAACTTGAGTGATGAATTTTGTGTTTTTTGCCAAAGAATAAATTTAATCTTTCTTAACGCTTCAAGCCCCCATCTTCAGCAAACAGGTATGTGGATTGAATGTCAGTCCTTTGCTGTATTACAGGATAGCTCAAATTCTGTCCTGCCAGGTTAACTTCTCCGGCTTAGCTTTGGCTACTGTTTTTACTGGGGATTCCTGGGAAACACAGCAGCCCTCCTGCTCTTGCACTGTAAACGTCATCTTCCTACAAGGCGTTTCGCCTGTCTGCTCTGTGGGAAAGATGCTGTCTTTGGGCAGGCTGAATGCAGCAGATCACTCCTATCGCTAGATCACTATTTCTAAGCTTCCCCTGAGAATGGTAGGCAATGTGAATTATTTTGGTGGGAACCTGCCACAAACTGTGTTTTCTCTTTAGAGGGGATAAAGACGTATCTGCTTGCCTGCACTGTAGAATGACACCTGTGCCTGGATATATTATACTGCTGTCCTTGTAAGTTTGCTTTACTGAAAAAAATTAGGCTTGGGGGAAAATGTTAGACCAACAAAGCTGGTGAACAGAGGAGCAAGGCTGGCTCAGTGGTTTTTGCCTTTGCCTTAGTCTAAAGTACAAATGTATTTAGAAGCAATTTTAGGTATAAAGGAGGAAAGTAGCTCTCCCCACCACATTTACTTTCCTGAAATCCATTAATTGTTTGTGATGGGCCTCACAGCAGATATATTGGCTTACAAGAATCTGATTTCAAATTGACTGTGCATATTAAAGCTTTAATGAAAATAGCTTCAGTTAAGTGATAAGTAATTACTGCTGAAGACAGAGTCAAATGATTGAAGAGATGGAAATTCCTAGATACTTGAAATCCATACATTAAATTAGACTGGCAGCAGTAACCCATCTACATACAGTGTCCTATTCTCAACTTCTAGCAGTTTCAATATAGCAGAGGTTTTAAGTAATTGGGAATCACAGGGAGAGAGATTAAACTTTTCTCCAAGATGAACGCAAATTGGAGATTAGAAGTATCAGTTCTACAGTTACAGTGTCCAGGAATCAGTTCAATTTATTAACCTCAAAAACATGCTAACTTGCTTTTGAGTAAATTGTGATTTTTCAAAACATACAAGATCAGAAGTGTCTTACCATACTTAAGGTTACTTAAAATTGTAAATAATTCTGTATGGAAGTTTTATTTCTTAGATCCAAATGCAGATTGGAACAAGAAGTATAACTTAACTAAAATCCACTAACCATTGCCCTGTATAATAGCATTCAAATTTAACATAAGCAACCTTATTTAAACAGCTTGTATAGCTTATCCTCTGGGATAGCACGTAGTAAAATAGCATGTGTTCTTTTCAAAAATATTTGTTTTTACTACTGGTAATTTTGTTGAAATTCCAATATTCTCATGGTAGATCATTTAAGATGCATAGCCTTCTAAGATGCTAAATATGATGCAATTTTGCAGTCTTAAAATGAAGCCAAATAAACAGCCCCTCTCATTTTCCGATGCATTAAAAATAGTGTTTTAAGATTTCCCTCATTCTGTGAGCTTGTTTTCAATTCAAGAAAAACTAGTCACATTTCTTGATTATGAAAAAAATGCAAGGGCATGCTGAATCAATAGTAATCAGGTGCTCAGATCATGGCACATCGCTTCCTTCAAAAATAACATAAAATTTAGTCTGGTTAAAGATTCTTCCTCAGTCTTGCCTCTGGTATAACAACTGCAACCTTTAAGACTGGCAAACTGGTACAGAACATAAATTTCTCATGCTGGAGCAGAAAATGGGAAGATGCTTTAAACAAGGTAGTAACAAATAGTTCATATTTCTCCTTTATGAAAGATGCTTGATGATGGTATGTTTTCTGGAATCTAGAAGGTAAATAAGCTCCAACTTCTCAAGGTTAATTGACGTGAACTTTTTTTTCCCCACTAGATTTCTGTGGTCATCGCAGAAATCAAAGTCTTAGTAGAAAACACAGATTAAAATTCTTCTATTCCTCTGGAGCCCAAGTCAGTCAGCTGCTGATAGAAAGATATGGTCTATAGCCCACTTTAAGAGAAAGGACTTATTTATCTTCTCTCTTTCCCTCTGTTTCCCCCCCAGCTACAGTAGTCTCATTTTTTCCTGAAAATAAGCTGCTGATTTAAACTCCACAGTGCAGTTCTTGAGTTGCTACATTGCCTTTTACTTGATTAGCTATTCATGAAACAACAGATTTGTTAGCTTAACTGAGCGACTGACTGACTTGAAGGGAAAAAAAAATGCTGCAGCATCTTCCTAATATGTCACAGGCAAGAAAGGAGAATCTGGTACGCTGTCTCCAACTAATCGCTGCCTTCAAAACTATAGTAAAGACAGTTATGAGCATTTGGAAACATAAAACACACTGGTATACATTCTACTGGTACTCAGGTAATGTAATCTGCTTTAAGAGGCCAAATGAAAAATTAGTCTTGGATTTGCTCATGACAGAAAAATCTGAGAGGCATATATTTTACTAAAGATTTACCTCTTAAACCTTTCCTTTATGTTTCGTTCTAACGCTGCCTGACCTTACAGCATGGATCTCAAACAGCTAAAATAAATGCCAGGCTGTACAACACTATACCCAAAAGCTGCATTACGCAGGCCTCATCCCATAATTGCCAATGGTACTGTGTTGTAGCAGTCTTTAAGCCAAGCTTTAAGTATTAGAATAGCTCCTATGATCAAAGCTTGAACTTCAAGGTTTTCCTTTTTGGCCTTGAGCAAATGACTTGAGATCTAGAGATACTGAAAGTCTTGAGTTTTTCTTTACTAGCTCCTTTTTAGGAAAGGATGATAGCAGTGTATTTAGGACTGTCTCTGATTGCAGCAGTTCTTAAAGGCAAGAGAAAGCATTTCTACTAAGAGATATCAAATGTTTACCTGAGTTCAGCTACTTTAAAAGAAAACTTTGGCAGCAGCATTTTCCGAGTATCACATGATTACAGAAAGTATATCAGGATGGGAAACAGTCATCCTGTGCATGCCTTGCACTATGGCACATTGGTGCTTCTGGCATAAAGGATAGGTATAAGTAGCAATGTTGATCATAGCTGCTACAGCATGGGAGTGAATGATACATTCCATTTTCTGCAGGAGAGTGGTAGAGTATTGTAAAAAGGGAATAGATAATGCAGTTCAGAGACCTAGTATTCCAAGTGTGAAAATACTTATTTTTTTTAGCACAAGTTCATCAAGCAAGCCTATCCTCAATTCAAAAAGATGTATGAACCCTCTTCCAGTGGGAAAACAGGAGCTTGGAGCAACTGAGTTGCTTGCCTGAATTCAGCTTGGCTTGTAGAGCCACAGATCATGCTGCATCTTTTCTAATCACAGAATACGCAGGTCTTAATACAGTCTCTGGTCTGTCTGCTACTCAAATGATTTCAAGTTGAGGCATTTAAAGTTACATGTTGACAAGAGCACTACAACTTATTTCTTGGCATTACCATTTACTAAGCAAATCGTAAGGTGAAGTTTCATGAGGTGGCTGAGCTGATCACTGTTGTTGAAAGGCATAATCCTGTTCCAGACCATGTAGTCCCCACACTCGTACGTAACAGCTGGTGCAAGACAGATACTGGGCATTGTGGAGAGAACAGGACTGGCTATCACAGCAGCAACAAGCAGAGTGGTTGGTTACTTAACAAAATTTCATCTGAAGCTTTGAGAAGAAGGTCAAGCATGTAGGTGCTGTTGTAGAAAAAAGCAGATAAACTGACATGTTTATAAAGGAGCGGTTTATCTAACGCTGCATGTTCCTGTCAATTAGTAATGCACTGAAAAAATGATGCCTGACGCTTCTTGTGCTTGCTTTAACTAAACCCCTGGTGCAGACCAAAAATCTTGCAGACAGTTCAAGGAACTATATCTGCCATAATTGAACCAAGATTAGAATTTGGATTATATTTTGACAGCACAGTAGTAACAAGATCACTTTCTGACAAAGGATTTCCACTCTACAGCCTCTTTCCGTATGCTGAAGCAACTTAAAAGAAGCTTGTAAAAAGCAAAATTTGAGTTTGTATTCCTGCTTTTAGGATAAAGTAGGCTAAACAGTTAAAATATTTCTGTGTTTACTACAGTTTCTTCAGACATCACATTCTTTTAAAATAGACTGAAATCATGACATCTATCACTATACATCATAAGCAGAGCAGGAGCGTCGCATCTCCATCATTACGTTGGTCTGTTCTCATGCTTAACACCCCTAACAAACATGTTGAGAAAAAAAAAGAATAGTAGTGAAGATCACCTTGTTATCTTTGTTAGTAACTGTAATATATGTGCTTTAAAAAAAAAAAAGGCTAAGTCTCCTCTTGCTATAAACATAGTCTTTTTTAGACTGGAAGAAGAATCAGACTTTCCAGTTGCTTTAAAAAGAGGTAAGGAAGTTACAGAGTTGCTGTGATGATCTCACTGCCATATGGTAAGCAATGAGCCTAATTTGTGATGCGTTGAAAACATGGAAGCTTAAGATGACTTACTCAGAGGAAGGAGGGGAATGGTCTAGCTACTTTGCTTTAGAATACATTAAGAACTATGTGCATTTGCAATTCTCACTGAATCAAAGCCTGATTGTACTGAAAATGAGCTGTGTTGGAAAACAAGCAATCAAACAACCCATCAAGAAAACTAATAACTAGTGAAAAATCAAAGCTGCTGGTTTACAAGTGTAAAGTAATCTCAAGCTCTCATTTTTCAACCACTATGAAGCTGTTGCGCATCTGCTAGAACTTGGTATCATCTGTTCAGTGACCCTGGCAAGCATGAAAATACAAGAAAATTAAAAATTCTCAGTCTTCCCATTTTCATTTGTTTGGGGGGGGGGGGGGGGGGAGAGCTACTAGCAATTCTTCAGTAAGAGCCAGATGGCGACTGAGGCTAGTCAGTGAGCTGAGGTTCTCAGCCTTGCTGAATATCTGGACCTAAAGTGGACTTAGGTACCTGCATTTGCTTAAAGTTTGCACGTGTTGT